TTTCTAAATGAAATATTCTACATATTTTCTATGTTTTAAATAATGCTATAGTGGGGTGAATATTTGAAGGTTAGAACTTATGGAAGTATGTTACGAAGAATTATTGTTTATTTGTCAATTGTAAAATTATTAATTAGCCTAGATTAATGCACTTTTGTATCCTCCTATTCGTAAGTTCACGTCAGGTGCATAAATTATCGTCCTGTTATTATTTAGTTCCACACCACTTATTGTGTAGTCATGCTTGTGTATTGATTCCCCATTTTTGCTGCCATGCGGTCGGTCAGTTAACCTTTTATCACACTGGTTTAAGTTATGGACACAACTTTAAAATGGAATTTTACCTGCTGTTTTCTTTTTCTATTCTGTCTATCTTACAAAATAGTGTTAGAAGTTGCATCTTCGAATAATAAACGTTAACCGTTGATCTTGCTCGTTATATCTCGATCACAGAGTTTTCGTTCCAAGAAACAATTATATCATTAAGAGAGAGCGAAGACACACTGCAGCACATACGAAACATTAAAAAACGAGGAAAAACATCTGATGACTATCTTCCAAAAGAACGGCTATCCACGCAACTTCATCAAAAAACATCAACCAAAACTATCATCAGGAGTGAAATCAAGCACAGGAACAAATAAACGCATCATCCTACCATACATCAAAGACATATCAGAGCATACGGCACGACTACTGAAACCATTTGGAATAGGTGTGGCACACAAACCAACGGAATCACTTCAGTCAATCCTATGTAGACCAAAGGACAAAATGACAAAGGAAGAAAAACCAAATATCATCTACAAAATAAATTGCTCAAATTGTGAAAAACACTACATAGGACAAAGTGGACGACCTCTTCAGCTCCGTTTACATGAACATCAATTAGCAGTCAAACGCCACGACAACGCTTCGCTTATATCAATACACACCGACAATTATGGACACACATTTGATTGGAACAACGTGGAAATACTAGGTAGGGGGAGGACAAAGAACACTAGAGAATTTTTAGAAGCTTGGCACTCAGGTCAATTAGCAATCAACAAACACATCGACATTGACCCAATTTATCAACCAATCAGGAAAATCATAGGTGACACAAGATCAAGAAACAGATCAAAAGAGGGAGGCAATCAAAACATAGTTGCAAACAACGACAGGCCAAAGGTCAACAACAACCAATCAAGATCGAGGTTAGCAGAACAAGCTACAGGTCAAACGTGGAGAAATTCTAATGCTTCACTTCTATCTGAAGTTCGTGCTGATGATGTTGTTCAGAAGAACAATGAAAGCTCCACAACCAAAACAACCAGCTCAGAGAACAAAACACCTTCACAATCATCCACCTGAGCTACAAGTTTTCTCCACCATCTCAATATCATTAAATAACATGTTATTGGTATTATGCAGACAGTTTAGATGCATCAGTCAGTACTCGAAGTAGATAATAATAAGAATAAGAATTGCTTTTATAATGAAGACCCAAATACATTGCATCACTTACTCACTTATAAATGGCGTGAAGATAAGTAAAATAATTAGTTGGGCTGTTTGAATGGAATAATCAAATCCATCCATAATTAGTTAGACTGGTTATCGAATTACCCGACGGTAGCCGCTACCTTGATGTGGTGGTCAGGCTCGCCCATCGTGATGAGCCAACCGAGTTACATTGGTTGGGACACATGTTCCTGCAGATTCTACTACTACAGGCGGGTCGATCGGATGACGATAAGACTAAAAGCAGCTTCTCAAGGTCTGAGGGCGAAGTCATACTACTGACCGTAGAATAGTGTGACTGCAGTAAGGCGTTTCCCTCGAACAACCAGCATCTGCAGTGATGCTGCCTTCTCACAAAAAAGGTAAGGGATGAGAAAAGTTTGACCGGCCTCAAGCAGTTGTCCCTTGGGCTCTGCGGTCACTCTCTCAGGTTTCAATGACCAACACTAACCTACCTTCCCTTTCAATTCCCTCAAGAGACACCCTTCGATGTGTGGGCATCCAGGAAATGACATCCGCTCTCATACCCTTAACAGCACTCAAGACCAAATTCGTCACTGTCGAATCCTTCCCACACCCCGTAACATCTCTCTTATCTCCAAGACTAATCCTTTTCACATTCCTTGATCACTCCGTTCCGATAATACAAACGATGCGAGTTAACGGAACGTTATTCCTGGAGTCTTGAAACCCCGCTCGAAACAACATGTTGGACATTGTGTCAAATATGACAACAGGCTTCCGTAGCTAGAACTTTTCAATCTCGCACTATTGATGTATGTTACGTCTCGGAAACACGCATACAGGATCCTAGTAAACTCAATAATATGATTTCACCTTGTAAAAATAAAGAACCAGGTTGATTCACATTACGTGTATTTGGAAGCCCTGCTGCTGCTTCCCCATGTCTCTCACTCTGATGTTGTAATAAACGGGGAAAACTTGAATGCTCAAGTAGGTATACCAAGTGAAACTGAAAGACTCCTGTATAGGTTTCATGGTGTCAAGGCTGATCGAACAGATAATGGCGACCGTCAGTTGCAACTATGATCAGATAATCACCTATTTCTAGCAAATACTAACTATAAGCATAAGGAAAAACAACTTTTACTATGGCGATCCCCCGAATCCGACAAGACGATGGACCGTACTAGATCACATAGGCATCAGCCATCGGTGGAGAGGCTCCATTGGAGATTGTCGCTCATTCTGGAGCCTATGTTTAGATTCAGATCATACTCTAGTGCGAGCACGTATTTGTTTGCCGCTTACTAGATATAAGAAAGACACAGTAAGTAAATCTCTTAGGATTCTATTTAATGATGGCAAAGCTAGGAATATATTCCAGGAACAACTAGAAAAGCAGTTAGGCAACCATGTAAGTAATGCCCGCCATGAGACGCCTTGGAATCATATTCAAAAAGGTGTGAAAACAGCATTGATAAGTGCTAGTAGGTCAAACCATAATCTTAGGGAGAAACACTGGATCGCAGTATCACCTACAGAACTGACAGATGCTCGGAAAAAACATACCATCCGACTACGAACAGGATAAGGAGTGGAGTCAGTCTAGTTCAGGATGATAAAAAGCCCACGCAAAGAGTGCTGGGTAGCGAAAGTAAGAGAGATGGGTAAGGCAGCGACAATAGGTAACAGTAGATAATTGTTCACGTATCAAGGAAACCGGCATCAGAAATCCGACGTAAAAAGTCCATGAAGTCACTAACAAGTGGATTGAGTCATGTTGGTAGATGTAGGCTACCTGGTTGGGTTTCACGAGTCGAAAGTCACGGATGGCTAGAGACTTTGTTCATAATTGTTTGCAATGGCGTAGGTACATCCAGTCTTTTCGTTCTTTCAAATTCTAACCTTTTGAATTCCTCATCATCTCTGTCTTTCTCTTTTTAAAGTTATCTCTCTGAATTATACTTCTCAAATCGTATCTTCGAACCATAATCTTTTCCATTAACAATAATCCTTCTTCTATCTCTACCACTGTGATTTGAAGTGACAGTTGCGTCTCTGTGCTGATGCGATTTGGCAACCTGAAGTTATGTATGCATGTAGGAAGTTGTATGTTGTAACTGACTGATTGAACCACTCCGAACATCTGTAGGTCTTTTGGAAAAAAACGGTTAAATTTTAAAATTTCTGTACCTGTAGGCATCAGATGACTCCATTTTTATTGTCACGTATTTTTTCTATTCAACTTCATTTATTTGAACCCCAAACTTACCGAAAGATACCAGTTTACTGTATCGCTAATATTTCATACAGTGAAAGCCTGATCTGGTGTTTCAAATCATAAAGTTTATAGTTATTTCACCAAAACAAACGTTATTTGATTATCCATGGTTCTTCACAACAATCCATGCACTATCGACCTTAATAAAGTGGTCATCACTTGTGTATTACAGGAATGGAAATTGGGAACTAGTTTATATATTTATTTATAACTTCATAAGAACAAATAATTCTTAAAAGCTGCTTTCCAACTTACATTTTAATTAGGCTTTATTACTACCTTATTTCACAGTGTACTCGCATTAACCTATTAATGCATTTTTACACAATAAGAGTAAAATCAAGTTTCATGTACTTTTTCAAGTAGTGTTGATGTGTGTATTATCCAACTTCACCATAATCAAATCATTTGATTTATTATTCTTTTGACGCATATTTGTACTACTAGTATATTAGAATTAGTTATTGTCCTGTACTACTTTCGTTGTTTTCGTTTCGCTTAATGAAATTTCAACACACCTAGTCAAACAATTCACATGATTGAAACAGAATCAGTGTCATTTCTTTGAAATTCATAATCATGATTTGTATAAGATTTTTTAAATTGTGTATCAGTTGGTCTAAATATGAAATAATAACGAAAAAATGTATTGGGCTACTAAACTCACAATATATTAGTATTAATTACTCAGACATATACGAGACCCATTTCATTGGAAATGAGTCATCTTTTTGTGACGTAAACAATATTGACAAATAAATTTAATTAAAAGAAGATATCTTTTACACAAATCATTTGCAATACGAATATAATGACAGCCATCATTTCTTGATGTCTTTCCAATTTACATGTTAGTTTAATGCATCTGATGAATTGTCTTATCTCACCTGAAAAGTTTATAGTGTAAGCATACTGTGTTAACCGCGTCTGAAGTTCTTCTGCGGCTACTGCCGGTCCCGACTCAGATAAAGGAGGATTAGGCATGAAGTTAGCTACCTCATCCTGTAGAAAACCAACTTGCTGAAAACGTATTGTGTGAAGCGTATCTATCATGAATCCAAAATAAATGTAATTATAATACAAGATGAGTTTATAGTATCGTTTTTCTCTGTATTATCGTGTTTTTTTATCGCTTCCATATTGGAATTTTATCTTTTCTATCTTTCCGCTTATAAAGAATCTTTTGTCCTCGATTTGGTTTATAATCAAAAGCTGTTCATTTTGTCAATATCTCTGAATGAATATTTAGGTGGAAAAAGAACGATTTCATAGAAAGATCTCTGCTGCTGTCATTGCTAAACAACAAGTATCCAAAAATCTTGAGATTTTACGCGAATACATAAAAGTTTTAAAAGATCACATTTCAGTGCTCGAACAGTCTCGTTCTAACATGATGCTGATTCCACGTTATTCAGATCATTTTTCACCAAAACAATGTGACAATATTCCTACAGAGATAACTTATTCTAAAGTATATTTAAAAAATATTGATTCAATCAGATCAACACCAGGTCTATCAGCTACTTTTCCTACCTTAAGCAGACTTCTTTCTCTCACTAGTGAATATCAAGATGCTCATAAATGTGTAACACAAAAAGTACTTCAATGTCCGACTAACCAATTATGTCAAACGGACCAGGATGTTCACAACTACAATCGGTAAGCTTTAGCCCTTTTTTACCACATTTCTGAGTACACTCGGTTGACTACAACATGTAGCTTCGTACGTACCTACATCAGTTCAGGTTACCATACCACATTAGCACAGAGAGATCGAATTGTCAATGAAAGTCCCATAGTAGTCGAGATAGATAAGTATCAGCGGTAATAAACAAGATTACATTTCGCAGATGTCATTCAATAAGTATAAATTAGTGACATAAACTTATACAGAAAGAGATAAAGGTGATAACGAATTCAGATTAGAATTCGGGAGAACATAATAAGTGGGTGCATCTGCGTCATCGCAAACGATTTTCCACTATGTCGTTCAGGGTCTTTAACCATCAGCTAATAATGTCATGTCAACCCGTATCAGGTAGTCTTGTGACATGTTTTGGTCTGGCAGCCCTTAGCCTTCTTACTGCCTACTTACTTCCACACCACAAAACATAGCTCGTCATGGCAGTCGGTGGTTAGGCATGCGTAACACATCTCTCAACTACCTCAACTGATGTACATTCACGAGTTCATCAATTGATTTGACATCCTCACCCTGTACCCTTTACGTAACACTGGCATTGCTTACTCAGTGGTCACAGGAAATACGAGCGATGCTCCACAGACACCTGTGATCGAATACTGGTAATCTACTAATCTCATCTATTCTTCGGGGCAATGTTTCATACCCATAAAGTAGGACGAAGCGGACTGCTGCTCAGTAAACTGATCCTTTGGTTAGCAAACAGATATCTCGCCTACACCATAAGTGACGCAAGTTGGTAAAAGTCAGTCGAGCTTTCTATATCCTTGCCTACATTTCGTCACACACCAAGCTACCAGCACTAATGAAAGTCCAACGATAAATGACGCGGTCAACACACTAAACTACTTCACTTTCTATCACTAGTTCAGATGCCGATGCAAGCGAATCCTGAAGCAACATTTTGTGACTCCTTCGTTTTGTCAGATTCGGGGAAGTTGTTTTTCTTATGCTTATAGTTAGTATTTGCTAGAAATAGGTGATTATCTGATCATAGCTGCAACAGAAGGTCGCCATTATTTGTTCGATCATCCTTGACACCATGAAATCCATACAGGAATCTTTCAGTTTCACTTGGTATACCTACTTGAGCATTAAAGTTATCCTCCTTTATTACAACACCAGTGTTCAAGTTTTTGAAGAACGTTGGAAAGCTTTCTGTAAAACTCATCTTTCACCTCTTCTGAGCTGCAGTCAGTAGGATCGTAGGCAGACACAACAAACAGGCAACGGCGGGTCCCTATCTTTTTGAGTCTTTACTCTCCCGTTTAGTCGGACTGCGCACAAGCAACTATCTGCCGGGATCCTGTCTAAGAGAACTATTTCTGACCTAGGATCTACACCAGCGAGGCCACAGGGTTTACAGGTACACGCAGCGCAAATCGGGACGGTTCTTTATTTGGAAAAAGTGAAGATAAAGTAATGATTCTGCTTGCATCTTGTATGCGCGTTTCGGAGACGCAGCATACATTAATAGTTTGAGATTCTAATGTCCTAGTTACGGAAGCCTGTTGTCCTGTTCGGCATAATGTTCGCACATTCAAAGGTCCAACATGTTGTACAGAACGTGGTTTCAGGAGATCAGGAATAACGTTTCGTGAACTCGAATAGTTTGCATTACTGGTGCAGGGTGATAAGGGGATGTGAGAAAGGTGAAACGTGGAGATAAGAAGGATGTTATGGGGTTTAGAAAGGATTTGTTCGTGACCGATTTGTTTTCATATGCTGTTACGGGTATGAGGGCGAATGTAACTTTCCGTTGCTTGAGGAATCTGAAAAGGAAATCGGGTTAGCGTTGGTCTGAGTGACCTGGGAGCGTGACCGCAGAGCCCAAGAAATAACTGCTTGAGGCCGGTCACGCACGGTCTTTTCATGTGTAGTTTGTAAAGCGTTAGCTTCGCACTTCAAGTGGCCTTGTATGCATAGGTGTTAGGGTCACTGCTAGTTGCTTTTTATGCATAACTCCAAACGTTCGTTTAGGGTGTATTTTGTCGAGCTCTGATATAAAATGGCTCAGGTAGAAGTAATTAATATGCTAGTTTACTATGCAGCAATTCAGTGCTCCTTGCTTTCATTTTAAATCTTCAGAAAAATTGATCTCAAAAATTAATTGGATACAATTTTTTATGTTTATTACTAACAGTTGCAGTACGAATCAACTATCGAATACAAACAATCTAGATAGTTCATATGATGGTGGTTGTATTGCGGTGAATTCGACGCTTTCAAATTCAGGCAACGTAAATATTCGTCCATGTTTTTCTACTAAATTATATTGTATTTTATTTCACTTGGGAATTTATATATATATATAATCTAAACTATACTAGTTGAAATATAATAATTTAATTTTATTTAAAACTGTTTAAATAAATAACGGCTTCAATAATTTAAAGTAGGGTAAATCATTATGTACTGTGACCACAGATTTATGTTACTTTTTGTATGAGTTCGGGATATTCCTAGTTTTTTCAAATTTAATGGTGTTTTAACCGCTTGTCTTCAGCTGCTTCCATTATTATATTCGCATTATATTTTGTCATAAACTACTTTTTTTTTTATTTGCATGGTAATTTTTACCAAAATATTGTCTGGAGGATTTATCGAGTTTCAAATTATTCTGTATAGTTTCGTATAATTGGATCTTTTGAAGTTGATTAAAGGGATAAATCGCATTTTAAAATTAAGTTTATTTTTCTGAAATACACATACTCTATGAGATAGATTCTGCTAGCGTTTGTAAACCCTATATTACTAGAAAAGACTGAAATGAACTTCTTTGAACTTCACGCATGATAACCGAAAAACTGCTTAGTGTTCTGCAAAAAATCGGCTTAAATGAATCCACTAGAATATGTTAACTTTTTCCGCACAAATGTTTCTCTTTTTTGTTAGCATTGTTACTCACTAGTCCAGTGTTTAAAGGTGTAAAAAAACTTGAGTTTCACTAGAGCTGTCGATACTATAATACATATATAAATTGCGTTAATGAGTTTTGAAAGAACTAATAGTGTATTCTACAGTTACATCATTGGTAAAAATAAATTACAACAATAGCAACTGTAGGTAAAGAAAATTTCTGTCCATGTGCTGAGGAATAATGCCCAAATACTTTGTGAAGAATTGAAAATAATTTAGTTTTAAAGAATTGGCAAACGAATTTTAAATAGTCGTTGTACTGTCAACCATACATAAATACTAGTTTATTTACCATCATAATTATAAATGAAAACAAGGTGTAGCACTAATGATTGTAAAAGGCTTAACTAATGAAGTTTAAGAATATCATTTTATTTTGAACATGAAGCTCGAAAGTATTTTTACTGTCTATTGGCAATTTTTGATGGAGTAAACCAGTAAGCACTTTATTGTACCTACATCATCTCAATGATGCGTTTTCATATGTTGTAGATCCAGAAAGCAACAGTTAATCAGCAAGAAATTACAGAACCTGATGGTATATGTTCCTCATCTTCTAGTATAAGTTCGAGTGTTTCCCCGATTCAAGTGATTGACGAAATGGAATTTCAAGACAACTTGGCTCTTCTGGATCAGCGGATTAACAATGTTCGGGAGTTTCTCAAATTGAACCCTGTGATTTTCTAAAATATGTATACAACTAATTGTACGAATAAAAATGGTAAGACTATATATATCCGACTTCATATCCGTGTTATTTGACTAAAATGACTAATTTAATCTCGTGTGTTGCTTCGGGTGTGAGGGAGTATGTTACTTCCAGGTTGCCCACACCGTGGAAGGTAGTTTCATGAGGAACCTAAAAAGAAAGGTAGATAAGTATTGGTCTTAGAGACCTGGGAGCGTGACCGCAGAGCCCAAGGAACAACTGCTCGAGGCCGATAACGCACGGTCTTTTTATGAGAGATTTTTAGATTATTAACTCCGCCATTTTAAAGCCCTTATTGGGCAGCCCTTCCGCCGAAGACGGAAATCCGTGAGGTTAGGGTGAGGCGTAACATTTTTAGGGTCGACCTTTTCTAACCCGTTCCTTCCTTGTGAGAAGGCAGCATCGCCACAGATGCTGGTTCTCCGAGGGAAACACCTTACTGCTATTCTGTTCCTCTAAAGCCAGCTGTAAGACTTCGTGCTCAGACCGTGAGTTGCTGTCTTTATCTGACGGTCCTTCAATCGACCTGACTGGCATGATGGAACTTACAGGAACATATGTCCCAACCAACACATCTCAGTTGGGTCATCATGAGAAGCAAGCCCGACCACCACGTCAAGGTGACAGCTATGGTCGGGGACTAAAATGGGATCAAATGGATATGCAGTAGTGTATTTCTGTGTTGACACCGTACACTTCATCCTACCAAGTAACTTGGAAGACTGAGCTGACAAAAAATCTCATTTCGTTGTAACAATATATGATATTTCTTTGTCTAAGCTCATACTATTCCAGATCAGAAATGTATGAAAACAATTTTTCTTATAAATTTCATGTAGTATTATGAACATAAGTATCCAAACCAAGGTCGAATTAGTGTAATGAACGAAAATGTTTATGCCCGATGGAACATGCAATTAATTTGAAGAAGATACAGTATACTGACCTTACCTTTAAACTGACATTTGCCAAACAGGTGGATTATCAGCTGCCTTTTCCCACATGTCTTCTAGTTTCCAAAACACTAGTCTCACTGTACATTCGTTCTTACACTCTTCGCTTTAGCAAAAACTCCGAGGTTATACTCCACAGAGTACTACTTATAGAATACGTCGTGAGTAGTACACACCCAGTGAGTATTACGCATCATACTATCATATCAGTCAGTTACAACGTAGAACTTCGTACGTACGTACATCAGTTCAGGTTGCCATAGCATATTAGCGTTGAGACGCAACTGTCAATTCAGATACCATAGTAGTAGCAGTATAAGCAGTAATCGGGGAGATTCGGTTTCGAACATACTATTCAAGAAGTAGGATCTAGTGAAATAGACTTGAAAAGAAAGTGATGAAGAATTCAAAAGGTTAAGATTCGAGTAAACACAAAGAATAGATGCACCTGTGCAGTCGAAAACGGTTTTGAGCCATATAAATTCAAGATCTCTAACCATCGAATACTATCATCTCGTGAGCCCCAACCAGGTCGTTGACACTTAACAACGTGACGCGATCCATTTGTCAGTAACTTCATGGATTTGTGCCACGTTTTGGTTCGGCCGCCCCTAGCTTTCTTCCAACTTATTCCTACATCGTAAAACATAGCTCGACGAGGCTGTCGGTGGTTAGACATACGTAACACATGTCTCAACAAACTCAACTGATGAAATTTAAATACTTCATTTATTGATCTGTCATCCTAACCGAGTACTTATTTCCTAAAAACAGCATTGCTTACTAGATCGTCCCAGGATGCATGAGCAATATTTCGGAGACACCTATGAACGAAAACAAGCAACCTACGAATATCCTCTACTCTGACTGGCCATGTTTTGCAGCCATAACCCCGGACGGAGCGAACCGCAGCGCAGTACACTCGTCATTTGTTTTGCAGACGGATATCTTGCCTACACCATAAGTGACACAAGTTGACGAAAGCCAATCGAGCCTTCTGAATCCTTGCTGAGATTTCGTCACACAACAGGCCATCAGCATTGATGAAACTCCCGAAAAAAATGAAGCGATTAACTGGCTAACTCTCTATCACTAGCTCAGTTGCCAAATACTGTCATTCGGTGATAATTTATTAAGATGTCTGTCAAAAGAAATCTTGATATCCAGTACAACGTTTAACCCAGGTGGTAGTAATGGGTGGTAGGCTGCACGAAAACTCAAATTAGTAATTCGACTGCTTTGTGCAGTCGACTTCACATAAGCACGTTACATATTTAGAAAATCATGTTATCACGAAAATTACTTCCCCAGTGTTTTTATGATTCCGGTTTTTAATCTAGGATTCTGGGTTGCGGTAACTTAGTGAGCTGTTTATGTACCCACTTCGATATATTTACCACTAACCACGAAGTAGGCATTTGGATAGTTACATGAGGACGTTCAATAACTGTCATTAAAAGCTGACTAACTTTTTCTTATAAATATTCATGTATACTTAAAGTAAAGCCTGACGACGATCTAACTGAAAACTATATAGTTTGCTTTTATGTGTTGGTCTAATTTTCACAATGGAAATCTTTACTATTATTGAATACCATCATCTTACGAAAATGTCTCAAAATTATTTTACAATTTTTATTCCATGAATATACTCTTTCTCCTGGAATTATATTGTATGTCTTAACTTTTTATACAACTAAATCTTACCTTTAATTAAAGGTAATCAATTTTCGCATGGAAAGAGATTTACACAGAATCAAGATTTCGTGATACGATTCAAACAACTTCGTGGTTTTAAGATTCATTGCATGAAACCTAGAAAATATTCTGCCTATTCCTTTCTATACCCATTAGATGCTGTTTCGAAAGAACAGTTATCGCTAAGGCTTTAGCAGTGTTTTACTGGCGCATGTGTCTGAGCTCGTTAGTAATCACTGGCACTCATCACCGAATCGCAGTCTTTTCAAGTTTATTTTGAATTGTCTGATTATTCTTGTGGCTTGATGATCTCTAGTAGCTGGGGTCTGATGGGACTTGGCTTCGTTGCCGACTTACGCCATCTGTATTGTATATGAGATATCTGTTTGCCAACCAAAGCATGAGTCTGACGAACAGCCCTCCACTTTCTCCCACTTCATGGATATGAACTGTGACCATTAAGAATAGCGGATGTTCGTAGCTTACTAGTACTCCATCATAGGGTCTTCGAAATATCGATCTTGTATTTTGGGGCCACCGAGTAACCATTTCTGAGGTTTGATAGTGCCAAAGGAGATACCTGGCAATTCCACAAGCTAGTGCTACAAGCTTATTAAGTCACCAAAAATTGAACTGAGCCGTGCAAAGCCTTATCAGAGTCCACGTTGGTTATCACAATCGATGGTTGGAGACTGGGTGATACGTCCCAGACTCGTTTGCGATGGCGCACGTGAATCTACTCTGTTTTTCTTTAGAGACTATCATACAAGATATTCTTTCCGTCCTACCTTATATATCACCAGTAATAGTGCTAATATTCTAATTTGGTTCGATAATTTTGCCTCGCTGTTATTAAGGTATGATAACTCAAACCGGTGCATATATGCTAAGTTTCTCGTTGCATATGACTTTGCCGCCTGCGTTCCTTCACAACCAGACGTGCCCCACGTGAATGGGTATAATGAAATCGAACAAATTGTTATGAGGAAGGTTTATTGACACTAACAAGCCACTAGTTGGCAATAACGAAACATTTGCGTTAGATGATATCAATAATCATTAACATATAGCATATATCTTGGTTTCAAGGATTTTCATCTCTACAGCACCAAGCACCGACATATTATAAATCCAGAACTGACTGGTAAAACAATCCATAACTCTTATGAATTACTCAATTACTATCACCTTCTAATAGTGCAAGCCTTACACTCCCGACCAATTTTATTGGGACTTCATTGTACCTTCCTCCATAGCAGAGGCAATAGAAGCACGAATAAGTTTGTGGTGGCCTGTGCCTCACTAGTTTCGTGGCGGTCAGTATTTGATATGTTTTAAGACTTCGTATGCTACTCGTCCAGACAACCGTTAACAGATAATGCTTCACGATTTACAAATCAAAAGAGGAATACGACGTGTCGAATACGTCTGTTTGGCGCACCACAAATAAACCACCAAACCGCACGCACAAGAAGCAACCAAGCAGACGTTCTTAGAGAATTCTTGCTTGATTATAAGGGCTGGTCTTTAGTTTGACGAGCAGCAGTTAAGGTTATCAGCTTAACACCGAGTATTTTAGATCCAAATGCCTAGTACGAAATTTTTGTGTAATGCCCCAGAAATTCCGGAGTAAAAGTAACCTTTATAGCGAATCGCAGTGGTTATTTGACAGGAGATCGACACCAGACAAGCATTCGACGATATAGTCATACACCATTGTAAACAAGTTTTTATGGCTGTGAAACATGGCCAGTGAGCGTAGAACATATTCGTAGGTTACTGGTTTTCGATCAAAGGTGTGCTTGAAGCATTGCTCGTATATCCTGGGACACCTGAGTGAGAAACGCTGTTATTAGGAAACGGGTGCTAGGTGAGAATGGCAGGTCAATAGATGAAGTAATCAAACCTTGTCAGTTGAGGTGGCTGGGACATGTACTGCGTACGCCTAACCACCGAGTGCCTCGTCGAGCTGTTTTGCGATATAGGAACAGGTTGGAAGAAAGTTAGGGGCAGCCAGACCAAAACATGGCAGAAATCCATGAGGTCATCGACAAGTGGACTGAGTCATGTCGGTAGTTCTCGACTACCTAGTCGAGGTCCGCGAGACGAAAGTCACCAATGGTTAGAGACCCTGAATGACATGGTTCAAAATCGTTTGCAATGGCGCCGGTGCGTTTATCCTTTGTGTTCTCTCAAATCCAAATCTTCTGGATTCTTCAACACCTCTAGTTTTGTCTTTTTAAACTTATCTCACTAAATCATACGTCTTCAATAATAACTTCTAATCCTAACCTCTCCGGTTAATTCTAATACCTTTACTACTTCTACTACTATTGGATTTGAATTGACAATTATATCTCTGTGCTAATGCGGTATGGCCACCTGAGCTGATGTACTTACGTGCGAAGTTCCTGCGTTAAAAGCAACTGATCGAAACACCCTTATCTCTACTTTATGATGAATGTACCATTCTGTTTGGAGGAATACAT